AGCATCTACTTTGATACTCTGATTGGTAGAGTCTTTCAGAGGTCCTTTGTGAAAGGAACCCGTTCTATTCCCTGACTTCTCCTACTTCTGTCTATCCTGTTTTCCTTTTTGAATGAGGATTAAACCTCATCCCCAGGGTCCTCCCTGTTGTTTATCTTCTTTAGGACTATAGATTTTAGTATGTTTATTCTATATTATATGTCTGATATCCACTTATAAATTAAGATAAACCATGTGTGTCTTTCTCCTTTTGGTTGCCTCACTCAGGATGATCTTTTCTAGTTGAATCGATTTGCCTGCAAATTTCATATTTTCTTTGTTTTTAATTGCTGAGTAGTGTTTCATTGTGTAAATATACAACAATTTCTGTGTTCATTCTTTAGTTGAGGGACATCTAGGTTATTTCCAGATTCTGTCTATTATGAATAAATCTGCTATGAATATAGTTGAGCAAACGTCCTTGTATGATTGAGCATCTTTTGGATATATGCCCAATGGTGGTATAGCTGGTTCTTGAGGTAACACTATTCCTGATTTTCTGAAAAAGGCCCAGATTGATTTCCAAAGTGGTTGTACAAGGTTACATAAACACCAGCAATGGAATAGGGTTCTTTCGCCACAACCTCTCCAGCATTTGTCATTCCTTGAGTTTTTTACCTTAGCTGTTCTGATGCATGTGAGGTGGAATTTCAGGGCCATTTTTATTTGTGTTTCTTGGTTGACTAAGGATGTGGAGCATTTTTTAAAGAGTTTCTCTGCCTTTCGAAATTCCTCCGTGAGGATTCTCTGTTTAGATCTGTACCCCAATTTTTAGTTGATTACTTGGTTTGTTAGTTGGAAAGAGCCTTGACTTCATTGGCACAGGAGACAACTTCCTGAACAGAACACCAACAGCACAGGCTCTAAGAGCAACAATCAATAAATGGGACCTCATGAAACTGAAAAGCTTCTGTAAAGCAAAGGATACTGTCATCTGAACAAAATGACAGTGAAAAGATCTTGACCAACCTTATGTTTTACAGAGAGCTATTATCCAGAATATATAAAGAACTCAAGAAGATAAACACCAAAAAAAAAAAAAACAGTTAATCCAGTTACTTTAATTATATGCAAGTTCTATATCTAAAAATCCATTTTTTCATCTTAATCTATTTTCTCAATATGGTATACACACACAAACACACAAATAGTAATCATCATTCTACTTTGAAGCTTTGATTTTATTTAAAATCTGTGAGTGAATCTAGAGATTTTGTTATACACATTGCAAATAAAACAATTGCATGTTCCTTTCTATAGGCATATATGATAAAATTTCTGGTTCTTTTGCATAAGAGTAAGCAGTTCAGTACTATCAATATTTTTCAAACTTATGTTTTATATCTGTTTTCTATTTCAAAAATATTCCACAAAGTGGGGAAATTTTTCAGTCAGTAAAATCATTTGCCATGAAGTGTGAGGACCTGAGTTTAAGTACCCATTATCCATTCATCCATACTCCTACACATAACACACACACACACAAACACACACACACAGACACACACACACACACACACAAATATAACAATGGAAACAAACAAAAAATGCTAGGCATGACTGAAACTACAGGCAATCCCAAGAGTTCACTGGCTAGCCAAACCAGGAAAGGCAGTGAGGGGAGACTCTCTCTGTGACAAATGCAGGAGCCCTTGTGTTTGGTGCACAGATGTTCAGGATTGTGATGTCCTCCTGGTGGATTTTTCTTTTGATGAGAATAAAGTGTCCCTCTCCATATCTTTTGATTAATTTTGTTTAAAAGTCTATTTCTTCAGATATTAGGATGGCTACCAGCTGGCTTCTTGTGTCTTTTTGCTTGGAAGACATTTTTCCAGCCCTTTATTCTGAGGTGGTATATATCTTTGTTGCAGAGGTGTGTTTCTTGAATGCAGCTGAATGTTGGATCCTGAATCGGCAAACAATATGTTAGTCTGTGTCTTTTTATTGGAGAGTTGAGGTGACTGATGAAATCAGATAGTAGTGACAATTCTTATTTCCTTTTATTGTGGAGTTTGTGGTTATTGTGTGTTTGTTTTCTTTTGCTTTTTGATATGTTGGTGTGTTTATCCTGTGCTTTTTTGAGTGTAATTGATCTCATTGGGTTGAAGTTTTCCTTCTAGCATCTTCTGTAGGGCTGGATTGCTACATATAGGTTGTTGAAATTTAATTATGTCATAAAATATTTTGTTTTCTCCATCTACAGTGATTGAAAGTTTTGCTGGATATAGTAGTCTGGATTGGCATCTGTGAGCTCTAATTCTGTTTCATATCTTGCACCATTTCCTTCATCTGTCTGAATGTGGATTCCTGTCTGTCCATGATGGCCTCTACTTTTTGTTAATTTCCTCTTTATGTGCCTTGAATAACTGAATGATTATAGATTTAAGATCTTTTTTTATGTGTTTCAGCTGCAATAGAATTTCCTTCGATTTTTGGAGATTCTGGTGAAGCCATGATGTCCTGGTTTTTGTTGCCTGTATGGTTATACCATCCTTTAGCCGTCTGGTTGTCTGTAGCCTTGACTGATTATACCTGGAGCCTGTACTACAGAATGGATAGCCCTGTGTCTGGAGTCTTAAGTAGTCTCCCCTGGAATCACTGTCTCTTCTGGCTCTCTGTTTGTGAACTGGGTAGCTGGGAGACAAATGGAAAAATTTCTGAGACTAGAGCTCCTCCATTTTCCCACAGGCTTCCTTAAGAAGGTGGAAGATGTGATTCGGGTCCCAGTCCTGCCCCAGCTCTGCTGAGCTCACTGGCTGTGCTGGGTCTGAGTTGTTTCAGATTCAGGTGATCTAGGCTGCTGTGGAGCAAGCAGAAAGATCTCTAAGCCTAGAGATGCTCCAATGCCCCATAGGCCTCCTTGGGGAAGAGAACAATGGAAATTTTGGTCAGGTGTCAAGCTCAGCTCCACTGGGTTCTCTTCTGTTCTTGGCTCTCTGATTGTAGCCTATGTGAGCCAGGCTGCTGGGGCACTGTCAGGTAGATCTCTTTGCTTAGAGCTGCTCCGGTGTCCCAAAGACTTCCCTTAGGGAAGTAGGGAATGGAACCTGGGTCCCAAGCCCAGTTCAGCTCTACTGTGTTCACTGTCTGTGCTGTGTTGGCTGATTCTGACTTGTGTGAACCAGGAAGGAGTGGAGTGAGCATAATGGAACCTCTCCTCCTCCACAATAGCAGAACGTATCCCTTCCATTAGGCAGTGAGAGTGAGCACCACTAGCTGTTGTGACCAGGGAAGTGTCCACAGGATGTTTAGTGTGGACTCCTTGGTTTGTAAACAGGAAGCTCTTGTATCCAAAAGGTATCCACAGGACTGCAAGAGTGAGCACCCAGGTTTGGAGTCCACCCACAGTACAGGAAGGTATTCACTCCATAGGCAGTGAGAGTGAGATCCCAAGGTCAGAGCTGGCCTGCTCTGGTTCCAGGAAGATATCCTCAGAAAGTGGGCTTGGGAGGTGGATGGCCTAAGGCTGCAAGGTCAGAACCCTGCTGTTGCTTGTCCAGGAAGGTATCCACAGATGTTGTGTTTGGGCATGTGGGTAGCCTAAGGCTGTAGGGAAGGAGCCCTATGTGCATGCTGCAGGTCCCAGGAAAATATCCACTGATGGTGGGTTCAGATGGGTGGCCTAAGGCTGAGGGGTAAGAGCCCAGTGAACTGCTGGTGCTATTGTTCCCAGTAGGTAGGTTTGGGTAGGTAATCTAGGGCTGCAGGGTAGGAGCCTCCTTGCTGCGTGCATCACAGCTGCCAGAAATATATCCACAGATGGTGAGTTTGTGAAGGTGGTCTAGGGCTTCAGGGTCAGAGCCCAGCGAACTGCAGTCAGTCCCAGGGAGGTCTTCTCAGTTGGAGGGACTTGGGGGAGGTGGGTAGCCTAGGCCTGTGGTAGAGCCGGGTAGAGCCCAGGAATTTTTTTGGGTATTAGCAGGGTGGCCTGATGATGGACGCTCAATTATTCCCCTGGATTCTCCTCTCACCTGAGAAACACAGACATCGGGATTTTGAGGTCCACAGCACAGCCTGCAGGTCACTCTGCTCTCACTGCTGAGCTGCTGTTCAGACACCTTCATGGTAGTCGCCGCCATCTTGGATCTGAGAGACAGCTGCAAGACACTATGGTGAAGAGTATTAGAGAAAGATATTTGCTCTGGCCTAGGAATTAATGAGTATAGTATCACTCACGCACATTATACACAAAGTATAAAACATACACACAAAAGAATAAAATTTTAAAGTTGAAATATTCCAAAGAGTAAGATTACAATGAGAGTATTTATATGGCATCTAATACTATTTTATTAGAAATATTTTGAAGTACAGCCATCTAGAAATGAACTATAAAGCATTAATTTTCTTGATAGTTGCTGAACTCTTGTTGCTATTTCTGTTTATATACAAAATAACTCATTCTCTATGGTTACTTACACTCTGAAAAATCATCTAAGTATAGGGATAGCATTAGTAAGATTTTCTTTCTGCTTCTCCTGTTAACTCCAAAGTCTGGAAACCATTGATCAGTTTATCATCCATACAGTTTTGCTCTCTGCATAGGTTATGTAATTGGACATGCACGTTTTAGACTGCCCATTCCAGCTTATTCACGTTAAGATTCATGGACTACTTGTATTTATTTTGTTCCTATTAAGATTCACATCCTTTGCGTAAACAAATTGGTAGTCAAGGAAGTGATTTTCAAATATGTTCACTCTGTTTCTTATCTTTTCCTGTCTTACAGTACCTTTTGTAAGGAAAAGATAAATATACAAAAAATTCTCCACCGATACATCCACTGCCTGCTATTTATTTGACATTAGTAACATTTTCTGATAAATTAGGCACTGGTTGTAAAACCACTAGAAGTCCATAATATACTTAAACAGAGTATCAACTTTTTATTTGTATCTTATTTGTCTTATATAAATGATAAAAAATTATTTTGTTTTGTTTCCCCACCCTCACAGTTGCAGAAATAACAGTGCAGCCAACTGTGGAAGAAGCTTCTGACAACTGCACTCAAGAATGCCTCATCTTGGGTCATTCTGATTCCTGCTGGATGCCAGCTTCTCTGACCCATCCCATCCCTCAACAGATACAGACCTCTGCTCTCTGCCACAATCCACCCAGGACCAACACATCAGTTCATCGCTGCAGCCCTCCAGTAACACAGACTGTCGCTATCTGCCAAATCCCCCCTGTGACACAGCCTATTGGACTGTGCCACAGCCCTCCATCAGTACAGGCAGCTTCTCTCCATCACAGTCCTCCTTTAGCACAGGCAACTGCACTCTGCCATAGTCCACCACCAGTAAAGGCTTCTGCGGTCTGCTATAGCCTGCCTCTATCACACTCTCTGGTAATTCACCATAGTACTCCTCTTTCACAGGCTGCTACACTCCATAACACTCAGGTCCAACAACCAATGAGTTTGCAGCAAGGATGGGTGCAGGGTGCTGGAGCTGATGGACTGCATCCCCTCGATCAGGGAGTACAGGGTAGTACAAGAGCTCAGTTTTATACCATGGCTGAAAGACTTCATCTTGATGATGACGCAATTAAAGTCATTCCATTGACCACCTTTACTTCAGGTCAACTGCCCAGATCCTCAAAGGATGATTCTTCCATCATGGAAGAACATCACTTATAAAGCCTTTATGGATAATTCACATTTTCAAAAATATGTGTATATATTCAAAGATTAAAGTTCACTTTTAATGAATATTCTAAATTAGAAAATTTGTAAATAGCTCTGTAAATAGAAACAAATACCAGGATAAGACCAGAGCTAGACCCTTAGTAAAGGATTATAAAAATCAATTTAAAATTTGTGATTTGGACTGTGAATTTTCAAAAGAAACAATTAAATTATATCTCTATGTGTGGAAAGGCTTATCATGAGAAAAATTAATATCTAGAATATATTTCTGATGTATGGTAATTTTTTTCCACTATGTGCAATATGATTTCGTCCTTTCTGATTTTTGTTGATTCAGTATGTAGTTTTTGGGAAACTTGTAAAGATAGGATTTTTCAAGTTTACTTTTAGTTTGTCTGTTTTTTCCAAGTTTACCTTTAATCTGCCTAAACATTTGTTCAGATAAAATTAGATGGCATAAGTACTGTAGCATTTTTGTTCATCTTTTTGTTTTGTTTATTTTAATTGCCTGTGGGTTTTTATTGTCTATATTTCTACCTTGAAAAATTTATAGCAGGGGGTAAAAATAAGATCTTTTACAGTTTTTGTCTCTATTCTTGTTTTCTTAAAATGTTTTCTACCTTTATTTTAAGAATATATTGATATAATTTGTATATACATGTTTTTCCAAAAAGAACATATATAAATTGTACATATCTAGGTTTTCGCCTATTTCTCTACTCTTCAGTTACATTCAAGACAGTGAAGTGCAATAACTATGCCCATATAGGCACCTATTAGCCTAAATGGTCATGTGTTTTTTTTTTTATATTTATAAACCTTTGTAAAGTATATCAGAAATACTATTGTATCTGTCATGGTAAGCCTATATTCCAGTAAGAATTGGGTGCTTCTGTTCTGGAATTTGTATGTAAAAATCACCAAGAAGGTATTAACGTATAACCACTACCACAAAGTAATATTTCTAAAGATGATTAGAATGATTTAAATATTGATTTGACAGCTCAGTGGCTGTTGCTGAAAGACACTCAATGAAAAGAAGAAACAAAGTTGTATATAAAACCCTGTATTAAGTATATAAGACTAAGGGATTTTTATCAATCTAGCTCAATTTACTGAAGAAAACTACTGAAAACAAGATGAAAGTAAGGAAAGAACTTTTTAAGAGACTTAATTCTAAACCTACAAAATGTATTACAGCACTGAATTTCAAGGAGATGTGTAGAGGGAGAAATAAAGTTCATGACTGCCTCTTGGGGTAAATAATAACTACCCCAGTAACAGTGAACAACAAAATCTCACATATGAGAAGAATATATTCTAAACAAAGAATACAGTAATATCCGTAGGAAACATTAATTTCCATTTGTTGTCTACAAGTTACTTACTGTCTTGCCTACTTAACTGGGCATTATCTTCTATGTGCACATTTCGTAAATTTACAGAAACACTACAAGCTTAATTTTCTCCCATAACAAAATCAAGAAAGTGTCTAGTTTCAATATTATACTAAACAAATAATTAATTTATGTTTGGGTTGAGGTGCTGAATATTTCTTGTTGATTAAATTTGGTGTGGACTTCGTAATGTGTAACTTGAAGATATGTAATTTATGATTAAACTGTGTGTAAATGTTGTAATATAAACTATGATAAATGTATAATTTCATTAGTAATGTTTTCCAATGAATGTTGATAAAAGTTCTCCTTCATGTTCCAGGTAGGTTAAGTAGTGTTGAGAATATATTGTTCCCCTTGTGCAGCTCGTTAGATTGCATATGATTTGATGTACAGTATAAGTTCTTAACTTTTAACACCTAGAGTTTAATTAGTGAAATTTCAAATTAGTTAGTACTATTGCTCTTTCCGTCTTTGTATGTGTTGGTGGTTTCAGGGATTTGAAACACACTGGTTTTCCAGGTGTACAAACCCCCAAAAGACTGATGGTTTTTAAAACTTTATTGAAATAAGATCACATATATGTATTGATATTGTTGTTGCTATTGTTGCTGTTATTGAAGATTCTAAACCTGGGGAAGATAAGAAACCCAGAATGACAAAATCAGTTCTTCCAGTAGACTGCTGTTTTTCCTCTAAACACACACATACAAAAAAGAAAAAAAAAAGAACAACTACAAAAAAAAAGTTATGTGAGTGAGAAATGGTTCTTTTGTTTTAATTATTTACACATATTCTTTCCATAACTAGTATAGAGATAGTCATCCACATATACACAAATTTAAAAAGAGATAAAAACTGGCAGTAAAATTTTATTAAATAATGTATCAGAAATATGAATGCTTATTTTAGTAATGGAAATATGGAACCTGAAAAATTATATATTTGAGATATTTTTATGATTATGAGACTTATGGAATTAGTAGGGAAGCTTTTATATTCATAAGTTTAACAATTTGTTAAGTGTTAATACCTTTCCTAGAAATATAGGAATGAACAAATATGCTTTTGTTGCCCTTTCTAAATCTGATTTTATAATCAGACTTAGACAGTGTTTAGGAAATGAAATGACTGGGCACAATCTTCTGGTTTTGTACCAGAGTGAAACTGAATGGAAGCAGGCTGGGCATAGCCAAAGAGGCAAGGGGTGTGAGCCCAGTAATTCTCCCCATGCATTCTCTTTCTTAGCTTCCACTAGGTGTAGCCTTGGAATCCAGGAATCTCCATGGCTTCAGATTTGATGAGATCTATCTCATCTCATGATAAATTCTTTCTTTGAATGGATGGACAGAAATATGTGTTGACAAAACTCACTAATGATTCTTCTGAAAAGCAAAACATATTCTCCTAGAACAGCACAGTATCTTACGTTATAATGAGTCAAAAAATGTTTCCCTCAGAAAAAGAGAAAGATCAGCTTTTTTTGAACTTAGACAGGGATTTGGTATTATCAGAATATGTTTGCCAAACCGGTTATTCTGTATTGTCCTCATATTCAGTTAAAAGGTGACTTTTCTTGCTATAGCTTTAGTATACACACTTGTAACTCTATTCAAACACTGTGTATCTCATGTGATAAATACATACACATTAGTTCTCAAACTATCTCCAAGTTTTAACTAATACAATGTCAATGTGTTAAAACTAACTTTTATTGATGATACAATCAATGTAAACAATTTAGAGAGTACATTTTATGTAGTCTCATTTAATAATTTAACAATTTGTTTTTAGTTATGCCAATTTGGTTAAAAAATATTGCTAAATGACAAGTGCTATTATGCAATGATGACAGTATGAATAGCTTCTGCCTTCCCAAACTGTTTGTCACACACGCTCATAAAAACAGTAAAATAGTAGACCAATTAGCTCATATTTGTGTAGTCCTTAAAATACAATCATGTCATAAACAAAAAGATCATTTTCAGTTCTGAATAAATTAAATGGCATTTACTCCTAAACATATTTAAAGTTTTCTTTAATTATTTTATGAAGGTTGAATATGCATACAGCTAATATACATTTATGAAAACGTAATTCATTACATTCTTCTGATTTAAAATTCACTGTGATTATACTTTTTAAATTTTTTTTGTAAACCCAACTTTAGTTATATTGAAGTGAAGAATTTTCTCACAAACATAGGGTACTATAGTTGGAATTTCTAAGGGGCTCAATTGTCCTGGATAATATGAGAGCAGAGGAGCTGACTATATTTGGGCAGAGACTTTTTTGATAACATTTGACAATTATCATGCTACAGAATCTTATTCAGAACCTTAAAATATTCATCCACAGTCCCTTTTTTATACTAACCACCCATGTGATTTTCATAAATATGATTGTTAAAAGTACTGCAAGTTTACAACAGGAGGACTAGAGAAGAAAGGGATGCTCATAAAAAGGTGTGTGCACAAATTTAAAAACGAAGGCAACTTTTTGTGACTGTATATGATAATTATAAGGATAAAACTTGTGAAATTTTTGTTGTCCCTGCTTAAAATATTTTAAATTTTATGAACTGGGTATTTATATTTTTATTTGGGGAAGATTCCTCCTCTGTGGTACCATATAGATTCTGACACTGAACAAGAACCCGAAGTATGGGACGTTTGGAAGTGAAAGATTGGATATTTTTGGACCCGTATGGCTGTATATAGTCAAGTGGCAAGTGTGTATTAATTGTTCTATTTCAGGCTCTGTATTGCATGTTTTCTTATTCATAAATAGAGATATTAATAAAGTAGTTATGAAAAATAATTACATTTTATGATGTGTTTGTATGAAGCCAAAATAAAAAACTGACCTGGTACACTGGACTTATGAGGTCATGGGTTCAAACACCAGCAATGACAACAGAGAGAAAAAGGTTTTGATTTTTGTTTTTCATGTTAAATTTGCTTTTAATTTTACATAGATTAAAATAAAACTACAAAGTGGATGGTGATGCATTGTATGTTAAGTTTTCTATGATATGACAGGTTTTATCATTAATTTTGCTATTTTAATTTTTATTTTTGTATTAATTAGAGTTTATTGACTTTGTATGCCAGCTGCAGCCCCCTCCCTCATTCCCTCCCAATACCACCCTTTCTCTCTCATTTCCTCCCAAGCCCCTCTCTAAGTCCACTGATAGGGGAGGTCCTCCGCCTCTTCCATCTGACCCTAGCTTATCAGGTAACATCAGGAGTGGTTGCATTGTGCTCGTCTGTGGCCTTGCAAGGCTGCTCCCCCATCAGGGAGAGGTGATCAAACAGTTAGTGGCTGAGTTCATACTAGAGACTATTCATGTTCCCATTACTAGGGAAATCACTAGGATATTGATCTACAAAGGGCTACATCTAAGCAGGGGTTCTAGGTTATATCCATGAATGGTTGTTGGTTGGAGTATCAGTCTCAGAAAGACTCCTGTGCCGATTTTTTGGTTCCGTTGCTCTCTTTGTGGAGCTCCTGTCCTCTCCAGGTCTTACTAACTCCCGCGTCTTTCATAAGATTCCTTGTTCTCTGCCCAAAGTTTGGTTATGAGTCTCAGCA